GCCCAGATCCTCCAGCGGGGGTTACCTGGACAGGCTGCAGGCAGGAGTTTGGCTCCCGAGCTGACTGTAGCTGGCCGAGCTCCCTGAGCCTCTTCCAGCCAGGCTGGGCTGGCCGAGATCCTTGCAAGCCCCTCCAGGCCAGGCTGAAGTTGCCAGCTTTCTTGGCAGCGGACACAGAGGCAGGAGGCCTGTTCCTTGGGGCGCCTCCTCCCTTGTTGCTCCTCCAGGCAAGGGCAGGTGGGAGATGGGCAGCTCTGAAAGCAGCCGCCCCTCCTGCCAGCCAGGCCTGGAAAAGCGGGGGGGGGGAACCATTTCCCACCTCCTTGCCACCTGCTCCCCAGCCCTCCCCCTTGCCGGCCGCCCCTTCAAGAGGCAGCAACGACCAGCTACCTGAAGCAGAGCCATTAGGGCTCAGGGCGACTCTCCTGGGGCCACCATGGGGGCAGACCACCAGTAGCTGATGCACGACTGACAGGGAAGGGGCACTGATGGGAAAGCCAGCCCCCCCCCCCCCCCGGCACCCCGTGCAGGCCTCCCCCCTCCGGGCAGGATGGGCAAAGGCCTTTCTGGGGGACTTGGGACCTGAGCCCGCTGGTGGTGGCGGCTGCTGCTGCTGCTGGGTGGTGACCCCCATGTCCAGCCTCCTCCCTCCCTGGGCGGAGTCGGAAAGGTGCCGGGAGACCCCTTCTGCTCAGAGCCCTGGGAAATGGGGTGGGGGGAGGCCTGCCCGAAGCCCCTTTCTTTCCACCCAGGAAGAGGGCACGGACGCTGCCTCTGTCCGGGCACTGGCGAAGGAGAACCAGCCCCTCCCTCCCCCCCCCCCTTCAGCCATCCTGCCCCCCCCCGGCTTCATAAGACCCCCCTGCCCCATCCTGACCTTGGAAGGGAGGAGAGGCAGCAGAGGGGAGCCCCTTCCAGGCACTGCCGCCCCTGCAAAATAGCCTCTTCCCCTCTGAACCCCTTCTGGGCACGGCATCCGAGCGGCTTCTGGGCCCCCAACCAAGGCGCTGCGGGCACTGCCAGTGTGCCCAGCCTGCCAGCCTCTCCGGCTGGGCTGGTCAGAGGCCCCGTGGGCTCTTTGGCACCCCTGCTTGCTGCAGGGAAGCCCCCTGGCTGGCTGACTTGTGGGGCGCAGGGGCACGTAACCCCAACCCTTCCCCCGCTTTCCTTGCTCTGCGTCGGGAGGCCGGCAGAGGCACCCATGGCTGTGTGTGTTTCCTGCGCTGTGTTGTTGTGCGCACTTGCCCCCCCCAGCCTTTGCTCTCTGGTGGCTGCCCCCCCCCGGCTGTGATAGGTGTGTGTTGGGCAGCCCAGCCAAGCCTCCCTTTGCGAGGTGTTTCCGGGGGCCTTACAAGGCGTCCTCTTCTCACAACCGTTCGTTCAGCGAACGCTCGAAGTTGCAATGGCTCAGAAAAAAGCGACTTTTGACCGTTTCTCACACTTACAGGCTTTGTAGCAATTCCCCCCTTCCCCCCCTCCCCCTCCCCCGTGGTCATGGGATCAGAATTCGGACAATGGGCAACCGGCTCACATTTATGATGGCCGCAGCGTCCCTTGTGTGACCTTCTGAGAAGCAAAGCCAGAGGGGGAGCAGTTTCACTTAGCAACTGAAGTGACTCACTTAACAACCGTGGCAAGAAAGGTTATGAAATGGGGCAAAATCCACTTAGCAACCGTCTCGCTTAGCGAGGGAAAGCTTGGGCTCCATTGCGGTCATGAGCAGAGGACTGTCTGTGGATGCCTAATGTACTAGACCAGGTTTCGGCAAGAGGCAGCTCTGGGTGCTACTGGACAGGGCAAAGCCTTTGGTTGGGGGCAGGCCATGGGGCAGCTGCTTTAGCCACCGGCCCCGCCTGTCGTCCTGCACGTCATTGTGGTGAGGCTTTGGTGGCATTTCACCTCCTTTGATGCCGAGGGATTCCCCGGTGCCAGGGCCACTTAGGCTGGGGGGGGCCAGGCGGCTGGTGGCACCCACATGGGTTCTGCCCCACGTCCCTTCCGAACCAGGGCCAAGGGCTGGGGGGAAGAAGTGTGTGTGTGTGTGTGTGTGGAAAGGGAGCAGGCAGGGAATCGGGGAGGCAGCAGGTGCCGAGGGCATCCCTGCACAAACGGCAACACACAAGGGTTTTGTGGTTGTGGAGCAGCTGTGCAGGTGCTTAACCCCAAAGGGGAGGGGCCTCCGGAGCAGCCAGTGCCTTGGGGACTCCTCTTCCTTGAACCCGAGGAAGCAGCCGCAGCCGTGGAGGGGGGGCTCCAGGAGAGGGGGGGCTCCAGCCAGCCCAGCCCACTGGGGGGGAGCGGGAAGGGGGACAGGCTGAGGAGGCTGAGAGGTCAAGGAGGGTCAAGGCCTCGATTCTATCTCTGGAAAAAGAGGCAAGCAAGCCAAGGAGAGCCTGGGGGGCCCTTCTGCCCCCCCCCCCCCGGGGCATTCTGGATTGGCAGGCAGTTCAGAGGTGGGAGAAGAGCCATTCTGGGAGCCAGCCAGCCACAAGGACACTTCTGCCATCTACGCTCCAAACACAGGAGGAGGGAAGCACAGGGCAGCACCAGTTCAGCATCTGCCAGCAGCAGCCACAGCGGGCAAGGCCAGGTTGGGGCTGTGTGGGTGGCCATTTGTGCAGGCGGGCACAGAGTATACCTGCCCCCTCCCACAACCCATGTTGCTTAGTAACTGGTTTGGCAGGACTCTGCTGCCCTCTGGTGGACGCTGCCGAAGCTGGCAGCAGGCGCTTGCGCCCTCAGCCCATCTTGAGCGTCTGTTCCCAGGCAGATGGCAACGCAGCATGAGCTCAGTTAAAGCCCCAGATTGGCAATCCACTCAAGCAGGCTCCAGGGTGGCTTTGCAACTGAGCCATCCCCGCTGCCCACCTTGTCTCTGACTCACTCTAGAAGGAAGCAGCAAACCAACAGCCGAGGCTCTTCCACAACTTTAAAAGTGACACCAATCCTCCTTAGAGAGAAGACGTGGCCGAGACAGGCTCAGCCGCTGGGCCAGGCCCAGGTGGAGGAAGGCCAACACTGAGCCTGTCTTGCAGAGGGAGAAGGCAAAGCATCGCACTTCAAAGAAGACCTGGCTGGGCACAGGACAAGACCTGGGATCCCCAGCTGGACATGAGCCGGCAGGGATGCAGCGCTAAGAAGCCAAATGCCATCAGCAGAAGCCCTGCAGCCAGAGCATGGGGGGGGAGGCGCAATAGTCCCATTGACCCCCCAGGACGGTCCAGTCTCTCTTCTCCAGTTTGGGCCACTGGACTTAGGAGAGACGCAGCGAGAGCTTCCGGGATGATCATGAGCTTGAACACCAACCCTGCGAGGAAGCCTCAAAGGAGGCTGAACCTGCCAAGGAGAAGGCGGGGAGGGCTCTGCCAAGGAGAAGCTAAGGGCCGCCTTGGGCAAAAGGAGCCTGATTCTTCTCCATGGAAACTGAGAGAGGGATCAGTCAGGGAAAATGAAAAGGAGGCAGATTTCTGTGGTGCAAAAGCTGGAACTCAGCACCACCTTCTGCCTCTTCCCACTCACCAAATGCTTTCAAAGTGTGTTGATTGAATGACCGTCAAGGATTGTTTAGACGACCTTTAAGTGCCTTTCCAACTCATACTTTGTATGAACCAGTGAGGTCAGGGTTGGCAGCGCTCATCTCTTTGGTCTGCCTCACCAAATTCTGCTGGGCTGACATTAAAACTCCACTGCAGTCAAGGGGGATAGACTGGGGGATTCCCCCCCCCCCAAAAAAAATGCCAGGTTCCAATTCTTTTAAAAATCGGGCATTCCTACAGCAAAAGGGATGTAGCAACTACAGCTGCCCACCGGTAGAGGAGGAAGGGTTGGAGGAGAGCAGCCAACCCTCCACCCCCCCACCCACCCCCACCCCGGCACGAGCCAGCCGTGCGAGGCTGCAGCTGCCGAAGCAGCTCATGGGCGATCTTGGGCTGCAGCAACAGAGGCCAAATTGGGAGATCACGGGAAGGGGGGACGCGTGCTCCACACTGCCCTGGGCAGACTAGCCCTGGAATACCTTGGCCGGTTCTGGTCCCCACAGTAGGAGGGCGGCGAGGGACTGGACCTGAGGCAAAGAAGATGGGGAGGGTCTTGGAAACAGAAGACCCAACGAAGACCTGAGCATCTTTAGCCTCCGGAAGAGGAAGGCCTCCCAGCGGTCTTCCCAGCCTTGAAGGGCTGCCCTGGGGAGTTTTATTTATTCAATGTTTATGCCCTCCATCCCTCCTGTGGGGTGACCCTGGAGGGAAGGACAATACCCCCCCCCCCGTCCCCAGCAGATGGAGACCCCGGCTCAAAATCAGGGAGAATTCCTTGACTCTGGAGGCTCCTCCTTGGCCCTGAGGGCTCAGACCCACAATCTTTTGTCTGGTGTGCTCTGAGGATCCTTGTACCGGCAGAGGGTTGGACTAGATGACCTCCGAGGACCCTTCCAAAACACACACACACACACACACACAGTGTCCCCCTCCACCAAGAGGACAAGGTAGCAAATAAAGGAGCTGAAGCCAAAGGAGAGGGCCGCTTGGAGTCGGTCCCGGCCGAGGGTGCGACAAAAATGCTGTTTTTGCAGCGGGGCCCGCGAGAGCCTCCCCCCCCCCCCCCCCCCCCCCCCCCCGCCCCGCGGCCCCCCCCCCCCCCATTTCCCACCTGCGGGGGAGGCAGAGGAAGCCGGGCTGGAGGCGGAGCAGCCCAGCGGGGAAGGGACGCGGCCTCTGCCATCCCCCACTTGAACCCCGGACCGGGCTGGGCGGGCAGACCGGGGAGACCCGGGGGCGGGGCAAGCTCGCAGTAGGACAGCCCCCCCCACGCTCCTCGGGCCGGTCACGGAGCCCCGCCCCCTCGGCTGCCTGTTTCGAAGCCTTCCGCAAACCAGCGGTCGGCAGGGGAGGAAAGCCCCGCCCGACCCGGGCATGCGCACTCGCGCCACCGGGCGGGGACGCTCTTCCCCGCCGCGCCTGGCGGGGGCGCCGTCGCTTCCGGCCGGCCCGCCTTCCGTTTCCGGGAGGCGCAAGATGGCGGTGCTCGGGCCGCGCGCGTGTGTTCCCGGCGGCGGGATGGGGCGGACGGTGCTGGTGCGGGGGCTGCCCCCCTCGGCCCGCGCCGCCGACCTGGAGCGGGAGTTCGGGCAGGCGGGGCCGGTGCGGCGGGCGGTGGCCGTGACGGCGCCCGGTGAGCGGGGGGGGGGGGGGGGGGGGCGGGCGGGGGAGGTTCCTCCGGGTCCGGCGCCTGACGGGGCGGGCTGTCGTTGCAGGCGGCGAGGCGTGCACCGGGCTGGGCTTCGTCAGCTTCTCCCTGCCGGAGGACGCGCAGCGGGCCTTGCGCGAGATCCGCGCCTTCGACGGCCGCCGGGTCAGCCTGGCGCTGGCGCGGCCCAAGAGGCGGAGGGCGGGCGGAGGCGGCGGCGGCGC